TGGAGCGGAGGGGCCATTCCTGTCGGCAACGGGGGCCGGGCTGAGCGGCCCCGCATGCCCGCGGGAGTCTCGACGATCACGGAGACGGTCACCGAGAGCCATGGCCACCTCGGCGTCGACGCGTCGACGCCCTCGATGTAGCTAAGGCCGCGCGAGGGCCCGTCGGCGGGGTTGAGCTCGCTGGGGATCCACCTTGCAACGACGCGCAGTCTGCAGGCCAAGGAGTAGGCGCAGATCTCCCGCAGGACGCTGCGCTGCTGGGGCGAGGGCCCGCGGCCCTTGCCGATGGCGAGAGCGAGTGACATATGGTCGACCAGGGACGCGATCCTCTTACCAAAGGCGTCCGCGGCCCTGGGCCGGCGGCGCAGCGCTGACGCGACGGCAAGCCCCTCGGCGCGGTAGATGTCGAACAAGTCCCTCCACGGGAATAATAAGTGGGTGATGGCCCTGCCCTCCTCGGTCAGCAGGTCCGGGTCGACCTCGCCGAAGGACTTGCGCCAGTTCTTGGCCTCGTCCGTCGGCAGACAGCCAGGGTCTCGTAGTGCTGCGCCAAAAGAGCCGGAGCCCAGCGCGTGGTCACAGACGCGCGCCAACTCCTCGGGAAGGCATCGCCATCTCTCGGCGGCGCGGCCAATCTCAGCCACAGCCTCGCGGTCGCAGCGCCGGCGGCAGACGCCGCAGCCCCGGCCTGAGGCGTCGCTGGCAGCGATCTCGCCGCGCCAGTCCGCGTCCGCGAAGACGACGAAGAGCGGCAATAGAGAGCGGACGTGCCGGAGCTCGCGGCGAGCCGAGGGCCAGAGCGGCATTGCCTCGTCCTTCGCCGCCAGGGTGAAGGCGTAGACCTAGTCGAAGATGGCCAGCGGGCATCTCTTGAGCAGCAACAAGACCCATGTGCAGTGGCCGATGTCAATCTCCAGAATGGGCCCGCGCATCTTCGGGCGTCGGAGGAGCTCTTCAGTGGCGCAGCGAAGGCGCCGGGCTCGCCGTGCAGACACCCGCGCGGAGTGGCGGTGCCCATCACGCTCGAGGCCCACGAAGCTGGTGGACCTGGTAGCCTCCACCTGCTCGTGGACGACAAAGCCGAGGAGGGAAAGCTCCCGCTCGACCTTGCGGCCCACGGCCTGCACCTTGGTGCTCTGCGGGCCTGGGACGAGGTAGTCGTCCACGCGCGCGGCGCCAGCGGCTGGCAGCTTGGGCGCGAGCAACGCGCCGCGGCTTCGGTCGCGGACATGCTGCGCGAGGCCGACGCGGGCCCGTGCGAGCGCGGCCTCGGAGACGCACTGGCAGAGGCGCAGGGCCCAGGACCAGCCCATCGGCAAGATCGTGAGTTCGGGGAGCAACCAGTCGGACTCGCGTATCATGATACCGCCCAACTCAGCAACGCCAGCGAGCCCGGCGCGCACCGGCGGCAGCGAGAAGTACTCGCAAAGGTCCTCGGGCAACTGCATGGCGTAAAACGCGTTGGAGATATCCCCGCTGATGAACCACGCGTCGCCGCTGCCCTGCGTCTCCATGCGAGCGGATGCGCTGCCGGTGGGCAGCTCGGCGCAGCGCGGCGGCTTGAATCGCGCGTTGCAGACCCGGGTGTCGAAGATGAGCCGCTGCTGGCCCGACTTCTTCGCGACCGCGAAGACGCCGAGGAGCCCGCGGCGGCCGCGAGCATGGAGGAGGCGCAGCATGCCCCTGCCAAGAAGCTCGCTGATGGACTCCCCGCAGGTGGCAGGGTGTCGTAATTTCAGACCAATGCAGGGTTGAGTGAGTCCGAGATATCTCGTCGAAGGGCCGCCGCCCCCTCGGGCGGGCGTAGCACGTGGGCCTTCCAATCCTGCAGCCGCAAACGGTCCGCCTCCAGGAGTGCGTCATGAAGCGCCACCGGCGCAGAGCCGCCGGAAGGCCAGGACACGAGGTCTTTGCTGTAGGAGACCACGCTGCCGCGCCCCGCAGAGTAGAGCGGGCAACTGGAGCAGATGTCGGAGAGCGAGCTCGAGCGAGAGATGTCAGAGGGCGGGCCGCCGAGCTCGACATGCTGCGCAGCGATGCAGTTGAGAGACCCCTGCTGCAAAACTGCGGGGCGCTTCCGAATCGGCGGCGCCCCGCCCCCGCCAAGCCAGCTGAGCGCCCTGGTGCCATCGTTGGCCCGGCCAACCCGAGCCAGAGCACCGGCGCGACAGCCGGCGTCGTGGGGGGCGTCTCGACGAAGAAATGGAAGAGGGAGAACGTTTCCCTGACGACTGACGGCCACGGCGTGGGGACCACGATGTCAGGAGCGAGGGGCCAGAGGGAAGCCCTCCAGGATGGCCGAAGTCCCGGCGGCCGACGCAAGCACGATGAAGAGCGCAGGCTAAGACTTGCCAGCCTTGGCTGCGCGGCAGCCCTGTCCACCGCCTCGGCCACCAGCGGGCGGGTGGGGCAGATGCCGCTCGTCACGCGCCTTGCGGCGCTCCTTCGCGATGGCTGAGTCGGCGGCAAGCTGCATGGAGATCCACTCGGACAGGGCAAGCCACACCATGAGCCCACAGGTGGACTGAATTCCCGCGAAGAAAAAATTGCTCGTGGCCTCCGCTGCCGGGGGGTCGCGAGCACACCAGCTTGTCCGCGTGCCTTTTCTCGCAGAGCTGGGTCTGTCGGGCGATGAGCTCCATCGCGGCAGCGTTCGACCCATCGGTCTGATCGTACGACAGGGCGACCTGCACGATCCGCGAGAATTCGTGATGCACCGAGGCGATGGGGTCGTCCACTGGCACGGTCGACCCGAAGTCGGCCTTCCAGACCAGGTGATGCCCCCTTGGCGGGCCTCCGTTCTCCACCTGGTACGTCGGGACCCAGTGGTACGTGGCGGGGCCATGCCCGCCCCGAACGGGGAAGCTCGTCGGCCGCGTGAGCCAGTCGCTGACATCCCGATGACGTAGCCAATGCACGTCGCACACGGTCGCGAGGGTCCGAAGGTCTCCAGGCCTGGCGGCGGCCCTGCCATCGACCGCGGGGGGTGCGGCATCGACAGCACCGTCACCTCCAGCGGCAGGCGGGGCAGCAACCAGCGCGGCGGGCCCCACAAGCCCTCCGCCCGCGGCGGGGGAGCTCGCCGCGCCAGCAGCGGCTGCCGGGGCGGGGGCGGGGGCGGCGGCAGCGGCGCTGCCACCTCCCAAGGGAGCACCGTCTGCAGCAGCGGCGCGGGCAGGAAGGGCATCATGGCCTCAAGACCCACCAGGAGCAGGAGCGGTCGCAGCAGCGCCCGCACCATCGTCGCGCTCCGGCTCGGCCGTCTTCGCGACTCCGCGGACGCAGGCCCGCGCCAGCTGGGCGACCGTCGACATCGCGGCGAGGTCAGAGTGCCGCAGTCCAGCTGGAGTGACGGCGCCCAGCGGCGCAGCGGCGGGGCCCCCCTCCTTCCACCAGTTGCGGGTGCCGGTGCCCCCAGCATCGTACTCCTCGGCGTGCACGTCAAAGACGGGCGTGAGGACGGCGTAGAGTTCCAGTCCGCGAGACGAGAACGCAACCACGACTCGTTTGTGAGCCCGGCTAAGCCCAGCGGCTGCGGGCAGGCCGCGCCGCACGGCCCCCCATGCCAGGGAGGGCCGAGGCCCGCGGCCCGTCTCGCCCGAGGGGCAGGACGGGCGAGGCGAGGGGCAGGCGCACGCTGCCTCCCTCGCGCCAAGGCCGGTGGCCAGGCAGTCAACCAGCGGCCCCAGGAGCTCGGCGGCGCCGCCCAGCGCCGGGAACGGGCCCGCCTTGAGCAGCGGGAGGAGCGCGGCCGCCGACGCGGCCGCCGCGGGCGCGCCTGGGACCGCGGGCTCGGAGGGCGGCAGCCACCAGCGAGCCAGGAGAAGCAGGATAGCGTTGCTTGTGAGCGGGAGGCCGATCCTGGAACCAGTGAAGCGCATCCGGGTGGAGGCCTCGACCTCCAGCAAAGGACTTGAACCGACGCGGTCGCGCGAAATGCGTGACCACGACGGCCTTCAGCTCCACCTGAGATGAGATGTGCAAACACGGCCATCATCATCATCATCATCATCATCATCATCATCATCATCATCATCATCATCATCATCATCATCATCAGCATCATTAACACCTTGCCACTGTTACCATCATTGCCTCCGTCGCAATAACCACTGCCATAGTCACCATCACCGCCGCGTCATCCCTGCGAGCATCATCATCGTCACTGCCGTTGCCATCGGTATAGGCATCAACGCAACCACCATCATGCGTAGCTGTGGCCGATGTCGTCGTCACCATCACCGCTCGCGCGCATCAGCCGTAGATCTGCATGAAGAGAATCATCGCGACACTGCGCCACTTAAGCTTTAGCAGCAAGTTGCAGGTAAGCAAGTGCGGTGTTCTCTCGACTGATATGATTCAAGTAGGTTGCGCCTCGCACATCGCACCACGTACATTGCACTAAGCAGATTGCACCACGAAGGTTGCACACCGAGAACACCAAACCCCACTGTTTCGGTTCCGTGCCAACAAAAAAGCTGGGCGGCCAAAAAGAAACGGACCTTAAGCGCGATGACGTAGCGACCGTACGCAGCGGCTTACGCGGGCCGCCAGCGCGGCACGCTACATTGGAAACGAAGGCGCCTACGCCTAACCTTCCGTTGGCAACCTGCGCGCCAATGTCCGCGCAATCGAACCCGTTGTTCTGCGCTGCTCGTTTGTAAAACGCGGGATCCTGGAGGTCCCAGACGGCCCAGACGGGTGAAATCCCGGCCACCACGATTTTCATTTACGGAGGTCGCCTGGGCAGGAAGAAAGAGGAGCAGGACACTGTCGGCTCACACAGGCGTGAGGGCGTCTGGCCGCTATACTCAGGAGGGGCCTGGTGCTTGTCCTAGCTGCCATGGTGAGTGGAGTCCCTGTCTGGGAGGGCACCGGACTGATGGCTATATCTTACCATATGGCGGGTCCCGAACAGCCTGAATGCAAAACGTTGCCAATCCTTGGAAGGCATGCTCTACTTCCGCAGGGCACCCGCCGGAGTTGACCCGGTTTTGCTTCCACCACCGCCCACCGAGGAAGAGAGGACACCTCCATTCTGATCCTAAATCTGGAAGGCCAGGCCTGTTCTGGAGCGCCGCATCCGAGGGTCCTAAGCAGAGATCGGAAGAGGACCGGTGGGAAGAGCCCGGCGCACCCGCAGCGAGGCGGTGCAGCAGCGCCGGGGAAGCCCGCAGCCAGGGCGGTCAGGTGAAAAAACACTCACGGCGGCGCTCGCAGCGGCGCGGAGGCGGGCCATGAAACTCTAGCGCGTCTTGGCAGCATCCCCGCAACACTTTGCTGCGGGCGGAATGGTCCTCCTCCTCCTCCCCCTCCTCCTCCTCCTCCTCCTCCTCCTCCTCCTCCTCCTCCTCCTCCTCCTCCTCCTCCCCCTGTCCTCCTGCTAAGAGCTGCGCGACAGAGGAGCAGCCTTGTTGTGAAGGCCCGAGGGCCAGCGAGACCCGAGACCTCACCTCAGCGCCCTGGCAGGAGGCCCCCTGCCAGGGTCAGGTCGGGCCTGTCACCCTACAGGGAGATGTTGGAGGACAAATTTACAAACAATTACAAAGATACTCCCAAATGGTCAAAAAATACTACAAATAGTCCCCCGACTATTTTTTGACTACTTTTGAATATTCCTCCTGTAGAGGCACACGCCCGACTTAATGCCAGGCCCGCCCCCCCCCCCCGAGATGTGCGTGGAATGCTGCGGCCTGCCTTCGGGGGAGCGGCGCGCGGGTTTCGGCCAGATCTGGGTCCCGCAGGAGGCCGCAACCCTCCGTGCACAGCGCCGGCGTCGAGGGCTTCTTCCCGCACGGGCATCTCGCCGGGCAGGCGCTGATCAGCAGACAGGATCGCGAGCAGCTCATTCCGGCTCCAAGCTGGACGTCGGTGTGGCAGCCGACAGCCGACGGCCCCTCTGGTCTCCCTTGAGGCCGCGACACGTGGGCGTCTGCAGGTCGTCGGGCGACGCTTTCAGTGCATCCGTGCAGAGAGGCGTGCCCAGCCTCTGCAGCAACACCTTCAGGTCGATGCTGCGGGCCGAGCCCTTCAGCCGGAAGATGCCGTCGATGAGTTCCTCGACAGTGATGAACTCGCCTGTGGCGATCAGGGCGAATAGCTGGTCCGCGTCGGTGCAGTCTAGATCCATGGACGCGAGCCACATCTGGATGGAGGGATGCTTCAAGACGTGGCGGAATTCGCGCAAGCCGATTTTGCCGACGCCCTGTCTGTCGGCGTACTTGAAAAGCCTTGTCATCTTGTCTCTGTGAAGGTTGGCCGCTTTCCGCTTCGTCCTGACCATGATGGTGTCGTCGTTGCTAGCCACCTTGAAAGTCTCCTGAATCCGCCACCGTGTCGTCTAGCGCGTGGATGCGTGGTAGAATGCCAAGAGCTGTCTGAAGAGAGAATCCGTACTGCTACTTTGCGACGCCACCAGCGAATTGAACAACACGAAACTTACGCATTCGCAGACAAGCGACGGTTATGACAGTCCCGTGTAAAAATGACCATAGCATGCCGAGGGCACTTCGTCGTCCACCAAGGGCACCGTTGCCAAAGCAAAGGTCACCAATTGAAATATGTAGCACCCCGCAGTCGCGGATAAGAGTGAGCGGGCGGCGGGGACGTCTGCAGTCTGCGAGGCTCTGAAGGAGCCCGCCGCAGGCGCCTAATTGACACAACATTATACAACGAGCCCGCCGCAGGCACCGGTTTTCGCTAAAACAATGTGAATGGATCGCGGGGGGGGTCGCGGGTGGATCGCGGGCGGGTCGCGGGGTGGGTCGCGGGTGGGTCGTGGGTGGATCGCGGGCGGGTCGCGGGGTGGGTCGCGGATGGGTTGTGGGTGGATTGCGGGCGGGTCGCGGGGTGGGTCACGGGTGGGTCGCGGGTGGTTCGCGGGGTGGGTCGCGGGTGGGTCGTCGGGGTGGGTCGCGGGTGGGTCGCGGGCGGGTCGCGGGGGGGACGACGCAACGAAACAAGCAGAATCCTCGCCGTGGATCCCCACTTCAGTCACGCACCCAGGGACAGTGAACGACCGTTCGGTCCCCTCACTCTGACCTACTTTCAACGGCCAGCGAACATGCTTATGCTGATTTTTTGATTTCTCGGGAAGTCTTTTCGGAGAGCAGCCCCCCCTTGTCGAGAGAGCGCAGACATGGATTATAACGGCGCCAAGATTCGCGACGGGACTCGCTTCCGTACATGATCGGCGTGCTCCGCCTAATCGGGCGATAGTGGCATCACGTTTCGCGGTGTGCCTTGTTCCGGTCCATGGATTTCGCGGGCACGTGCCAGATACTCGGATCCCTAATCCATGTTAGCGCGTGCCCGAATATCCTGAGCCACCGACCTGGAAGGCTCGTGCTGCAGCCCGAGCTGCACGAGCAGCGGGCAGGAGTACAGGAAGAGCCGTCGTACTCACCCTTCTCGTCCTCGTCTTTTCTCTTTTCCCTCCTCGTCCTCTCCTCAGCGTCGTCGTCGTCGTCGACCCATGTTAGCGTTCGCCCGACCTTGTCA